CCAACTACAATCTCATCTTCCAAAGGAAGTCTTCCCTAAACCTTCTTAACTCCAGTGTTTTCCCTCTTTTTATTATTTCCTATTTATCCTATATATAGCTTGATATATATTTGTTTCCATGTTGTCTCCCCATTAGATTGTAAGTTCCTTAAGGGCAGGGATTGTCTTTTGCCTCTTTTTGTATCCCCAGTGCTTAGCATAGTCCCTAGCATGTGGTAGGTGCTTAACAAATGTTTATTGATTGATATAGTAATATCTACACCCTCCACAAGAAGATACAGTTCACTGTTCTGTAGGATCATCAAGTTGATCAGGCAACTGCCCTGAACAACCACTTACCTAAGGAAAGATGGAAAGACCTTTATGAAATAATGTAGAATTGGAGGGGGAGGGAAAATAGAAACAGAAGAATGGACTACACATTTGACTATATGAGGAAAATGAATGGACAAAGAATCCTGATGGAGACTTGGAATAAATCAACAAGCATTTCTTAAGTGCTTATTGTATGCTATGACATTGCATGGGATGGATTTCACTTTTTAACTCTAGACAATCGCAAAGTGAGTTTAATTGATATATTGATATTCAGTATTATTCCTAATCCTTTTCTTTTTAATGACTGAAGAAGCAGAAAAGGCAGCTAGGTGGTGAAGTGGATAGAGTGCCTGGCCTGAAGTCAGGAAGACTCATCATCTTGAGTTAAAATCTGATCTAAGACATTTACTAGTTACGTGACCTTTGGCAAGTTATTTAACCATGTTCACCTCAGTTTCCTCATCTGTAAAATGAGCTACAGAGGGAAATGGTAAGCCACATTAGTATCTTTGCCAAGAAAACCCCAAATGGGGTCGCAAAGAATAAAACTCAACTGAAAACAACTGAACAGGAAGAGGTAGAATGTTCAGTGGTGTTTGACATTAGGTGTTTGATGGCCATTGTATTTGGGTCATCCTGTAAGGAAAACTTAAGTCATATACCTTTACAGTTTCTGAGAGAGCTAGGGTTTTGTGAACTTAGAGAAAGGAACTATGTCATGATACATATGGAATTTCAAAGGAAGATTGTTGGTGCTAATGAATACGTAGACACAGCTACCTTGGTGTGCCTGGACCCAAGTGACATTCTTTAGAGTTTCTGCTTTTACTGGTGAAAAAAATTCAAACCTTTTCCAAGTGCTTGTTGAGTACAATAAGCAGGAAGCACAGAAATTCAGTACCTCAAAATCCCAATTATCCATCTTGAAGCTTATAAAAATAGAAAGTAAATGCTGGCAAGAAACATAAAGTCTCTATAATCATATATTTCAAGGTTGTTCCCTGACTTACCCGCATTGTTGTGGATCCTGAGATGTTTCATTTCAGGGTGGCTATTTGGTACCTCCAAAATGGAAATATCATTGAGGAAGAAGTAGTTTTTTGTCTGGACAAAATATTCAATGTATTTGTGAGACATGGGGTGTGCCCAGTGACCTAAAACCACCCCCCTCATCATTTCTTATAGCACAATAGTACTCCGTCACAATCATATGCCAAAATTTGTTCAGTCATTCCTCAACTGATGAGCATGCCCCAAATGTCCAATTCTTTACTGTCACAAAAAGAACTGTTATTTTTGTACATGTAGTTTCTTTTCCTTTTCCTTTGGTTTCTTTGGGATACAGACCTGGTAGTACTGTTGGTGATTTGAAGGGTATGCACAATTTTATAGCTCTTTGGGCAAAGTTCCAAATTATTTTCTAGAATGGTTGAAACAATTCAAAACTCCACCAACAATCCAGTAGTGTTCCTCTTTTTCCCTCATCCCCTCCAGCATTTGTCATTTCTGAGAGGTGTGAGGTGGTGCCTCAGAGTTGTTTTAATTTGCATTTCTCTAATCAATAGATTTAGAGCATTTTTTCATAACTATAGATAGGTTTGATTTCTTCTTCTGAAAACTACTTATTCATATCCTTTGACCATTTGTCAGTTGGGCAATGGATCTTATTTTTGTAAATTTGACTCAGTTCCATACTCAGTATATATTTCAGAAATGAGGTTTTTATCAGAGAAACTTTCTCTAAAAAATTTTGAAATTACTTCATTGCCTATGGTACCTTTTAACTAAATGTCAGACACGATTGAAAAATGGCTTAACAGCAAGTTTCCCTGATTACCTCTCTTAATTAAGTCTATTTTTGCTTTTGATTTATATGAGGTCATGATTACTACCTCTGCCTTTTTTTACTTCAGCTGACGCTTATTCGATTCTGCTCCAGCCCTTCATTTTTACTGTACATTTTTCTGTTTCAAGTGTGTCTCTTATAAATAACATATTGTTGGATTCTGGTTTCTAATCCCTTCTGCTATCTGCTTCCATTTTTATGGGTGAGCTCATCCCATTTCTATTCACAGTTAGGATTACTAACTGTGTTTCCCTTCATCCCATTATCTTCTGTTCCTCCCCCACTCCTCTTTATCCTGTCCCTTCTCAAAATTCTATTTTTTTTAACCACTGCCTTTGTTAATCCACCTTCCTTTTTAACACCCTCCTCCCTTTCTCTTATCTCCATCCTCTCCTATTTCCCTATTGGCAACTTAAATTTCTATACCAAGCTAAGTGTGTGTATATATTCTTCCTTCTTTGAACTAATTCAATGAGAATGAGGTTCAAGCATTGCCTGCCACTCACACCCCTTCCATTCTCACCTCCATTGTAAAAGTTCTTTCATGTGTGCCTCTTTTATGTGAGAAAATTATCCCTATTCTGCCTCTCCCTTTCCCTTCTCCCAGTGACTCCCTCTTTCTCAAATACCATGGATCCCCAGTCAGAATCATACAAGATTTAATGGCTTCCATATTAAAGAAGCAGAGTGCTTGGAATATGACATTTCAGAAGACAAATAAGCTAGGATTACAACCAAGAATCACCTATCCAACAAAATTGAGTATAATCCTTCTGGGGGAAAATGGATATTTAATGAAATAAAGGACTTTCAAGCATTCCTGATGCTGACCAGAACTGAATAGAAAACCTGACATTCAATCAGAAGACTCAAGAGAAGCATAGAAAGGTAAACATGAAGAAAGAGTAATCATAAGGGACTAAATAAAGTTAAACTGTTGATATTCCTATATGGGAAGATTATACGTGCAACTCTATCATTATTAGGGCAGTTAAAAGGAGTTTACATAGACAGAGTGCATGAGCGTGAGTCGACTATGGAATGATCTCCAAAAAAGTAATTTAACCAAACAAAGCTACTATGGTGGTAGGGAAGACTTAAGACATAAACTCAGAAGAAGACAACAATGTGAAAACAGCTATAAAAAAGGTCTCAAAGAAAAATATTAATTGGATCCAAACCCAAATGAGATAATGCCTGAAAGAGCCCCACTCCTCTAACTATGGCTTCAGTATAGGACCTGAGGAATAGCCAAAGGTGTTGCAATATTGAGATTTGCTATCCAAAACTCCAGTTGAGAGTCCTATCCCAAAGAGAGACAGCACTTCAACAACAGAAGTGTCTCTAGACCGTTCAGCCAGTGGCTAAGTTAACTTATGATATACAGGGGTAATGTATGATGACATATAACCCATATAGTATGTAAGTACCTACAGGAACCATAATATTTATAGGAGAAGACCATAAATGAACTATAGTATATACAACTCAGTTAAAGTTATAAGTGGACAATCTTTATTGGTAAATGGAATTGACCAATCATAGGTCGAAGCAAAAAATAAAGTTTATTGTATTCCTATTTACACTATATACTGTTATATTCTCTACTCATGAGAATATATTTGCATAAATGTTACATACCGTATCTGGAATAATCTATAGGGAATGTAAATTCTCTGCCTGCTGTAAATTCCATCAAATGCTGGAATAGTTCCCTTATTCTCTTCTTTTCAAGTAAGTGGGGGAAATAAAGAACATTCATCTCAAGAGCTAGGCTTGGTGATAGATAAGGCTGGTCATGGGAAAGCAAAGGAGAGCAAAGGATTGAAGGGCTGAGACGATTAAGTGCTCTAGCAATGTCTTTCCAGTTCTTACTCTGATGATGGCACCAAAAATACCTGGAGTCTCTAGAAATTCAGGCTAGTCTGAAATAACTAGTAGACTGGGTGGCCAGGCTACAGAGTCATAATTAGTAGCAGGAAATTAGAGAAAGATAGAAAAAGAATGTACTTCTTCTACCCCCTTCCAGCCACAGGCACGAGGCAAGGAACACCATGCAGAGACAAGACTTGTAGGGGAAGGAGCCTTGGCCAAAAGTCTTCAATGGTGATTTCTATACGTCTTTTAGGAGTGGTTGTGAAAAGCTGCATGGAATAGTGGATAGAGCTGGCCTTGAAGCCAAGAAAACCTGGGTTGCTGTCCCAACTCTGACATATACTGGCTATGTGACCTTGAGCAAGTCAGTTAACCTCAGGCAACTCTCTAAGACTCTTAAGTTGCAGACAATGTGCTGACCTGCATTGGCAGAGGGAATTTCCTCACCTGGGAGTTTCCTATACTGGTAAAATCATAGGTTCAGTCCTTCCTTAACCAATCCCTTTAAAACTGGTTATTCATTCAAGAATTAATTTTCTTCCTTTTAATAAAGTTTTATTCTCTAATATTGGAACTGCATGCTCACAAACCAGGAATCCATGTCAGTGGAGTCTGAGATACTATACACACGTATATACATAAATATACATACATGCACATATATGTTTGTATACATATATACATATGTGTACACATATGCTTACATGTGTACCTACTACATGTGTGTGTGTGTGTGTGTGTGTGTGTGTGTGTGTATGTGTATCATCCCAGATTTCTTGGTTGGGGACTATATATGACTCAAGAAAGTAAGATAATGTCCCAATTGTACCCGGGCCCTCTCTATCGTAAGGGTTATACATCTGCATTCTTTCTTCCAAGGTCTCTTCCAGCTCTAAAACTCTGATTTTATGATTCAAGTGACCTTATATTTCTTTTACCTTTTCTGTCTACTTTTATGCAGATTCTCCCTCTTGAAAACCAAATGAAGTATCCTAATAATTATGTTGTGATCCTGTACATAGTGATGCCCATCATCATTATTCTCTATATCAGCCTGGGAACCCTGGGCTACATGAAATTTGGAGAAGACATTCAGGCCAGCATAATCCTCAACCTGCCCAACTGTTGGTACGTCCTAGGATAGGAAGAGGGGGAAGACTGTGAGAATGGAGCCAAGTAATGCATTCTGTGTTACAGTTGCATTTTTCTCATTGAAAAAGAGAGCAATGTATTAATCAACTAGAGATTTACACAGGACCCCGTACAGGTCACTTCACCTGTCTGGGTCTCAGTTTCCTCATTTGTAAAATGAGCGAGTTGGACCAGATGACCTCTAAGGTTCCTTATGAATAGACTGATGTCAGCCTAAAAGGAGATCTATAGTAGAGTGCACAGGGCCCACTTCTAGTCAATATTTTATAAATACTTGGATAAAGACGGAGATGGAATGCTTGTCAAATTTTAGATGGCACAAAGTTAGGAAGGTTATCTAAAAATTGCACAAAAGAATTGAGATCACAATCTAGATCTTGACAGGTCTCCTTGGCAGCTTGTGAAGGATGGATTGCAGTAGAGACAGGAAAGGAAGACCAATTAAGAGGCCATTGTAATAGTCCAGGTGAGAGTTGGTAAGGGTCTGAACTAAGGTAGAGATGTGTGAGTAGTGAGAATGTATAGGATGTTGTGGTAGAAATGGTAAGATTTGGAAACTGAATAAACATGTGGGATTAGAGAAAGTGAGGAGTCAAGGACAACATGAAATTCAATCTGAGAGCTTAGAAAGATGGTGGTACCCTCCATAGAATTAGGAAAGTTTAGTATGGGTTAGTTTGAAGAAAAAGATTGTTTTAAATAAGTTGAGTTTGATATGTGTATGGGACATAAAGTTTCAAATGTCAAAATAGTGATGTAGTAGTGGAGCTCAGGAAAAAGATGGGTTGGATCTATAGATCTAGGAATGATATGAATGCATATGATAATGAAACCCATGGGAGTTGATGAGGTTACTAAGTGAATGTAAAAAGAAGAGGGCCTAGGACAGAACTTTGAGGCAAACCCAAAGATAAGAGACATGATATTGATGATGAGCCAGCAAAGGAGATTGAGAAGGAGCGGTCACACAGTAGTGTCATAAAAACCCAAGGAAGAGTGAGTCCCCAGAAGGATACTGTGGTCAACAATGTCATATGTTGTAGAGGTTAAGAAAGGTGAGGACTGGGTAAGCTAGGTGGCACAGTGGATAGAGCACCGTGGAGTCAGGAGGACCTGAGTTCAAATGTGGCCTCAGACACATAACATTTACTAGCTGTGTGACTC